ACCCTGTGATGACCTTGGGCCCACCTGGATAACCCAGGATAATCTCCCCTCACAAGAAACTTGATTTAGTCATGGATGCGAAGTCCCTTTTGCTATGTCAGGTGACACCTTCACAGGTTCTGGGATTAGCAGGTGGATGTCTTTTGGATGGGGCTGGGGTTTCAGTACTCGGGTTATGTCCAGTCCCCACCTTCCTCGCTCTGTGCCACACTTGAAGGATCCAGGAAGGCATGTTTCTCCATCTCCCGTCTCCACAACATAAAACTTGCAAAGAAGTTTTCTCATGATTCATAGAGTAGTGACGAAAAGTGCTGGCTGTGGAACTGGCCGATTCAGCTATATGTTTATCTGTAAAATGGGGATAAAAATTGCATCCTCCTCAAAGTGCCAAAATGAGATTGTATATGTCAAGTGCTCAGCAAAGTGTCTGGTATCAAAAATGTTACCCATTATATCAGTAGTGTTGTATGAACCAGGGTTATGATGGTGTGTTTTAGTTTGTTTTCTGTTGCCTATAACAGAATACCTGGAACTGGGTAGTTTATGAAGAAAATAAGTTTATTCCTTACAGTTTTGGAGGCTGGGAAGTCCAGGGTCGATAGAGCCTATGCCGAGGGTCTTCTTCTTGTGGAGTCTACCTGCAGACATGGGCACCGCATGGCGAGGGGGGGTGGGCTCACGTGATCACCTGCCCTCTGATGAAGTCACTGGTCTCCTCCATGATAAGCTATTAACCCATCAACCCATCAACCCACGAGTGGACTAATCCATTCCTGAAGCCACAGCCACTGCAAGCTGATCACCTCCCAGAGGCCGCGCCTTTCAACACTACCATGCTGGGGACCAAGCTTCCACATAAGCTTTGGAGGGTGCAAACATTCAGATGTAGCATGGTGTTTTCTTGTCATTATAATTGGTTTGCTGTTCTTGGCCACCCCTTCACTGGGTCATCTCCCTCCCTTGTCTGCCCAACTTCTGGAAGGACTTGGGGGCACCTGCTGTCTTGAGGCCTCAACCCCCCTGCCCATAACCACCCCCCACCACACACACACCCTCCTCTAGGAAGCAGAAGGAATCCCTTCTTTCTTGGATCCCCACAGCTCTCCTGGGGCACTGGGCACTTTGCACCTGGTGCTTGGCCTGTTGGTCACGGCCTTTTCTCTCCTCCAAGAGGGTAGCTCCTCAAGAGCAGGACCCTATTGGGTGGGTCCCTGAGTGCATCTCCCAAGCCAGGCATCCTTGGCTCAGCTCTGGATGCATGTTAGAATCACCTGGTGGCTTTTAGAAATCTTGATGTCTGGGCCCCACTCCTCAGTTGGTCTGGGGATAGGCCATGGCAGGTGTCTTTACAAGAAACCAGTGGCAACTTTGGAACACACCAGATCCCCTGGAGACCCTGTTAAAACACAGGTTGCTGGCCCACCCCCCAGAGCCTGATGGATTAGGCCCAGGATGGGGCCTGAGAACCTGCATTGCCAGCAAGCTCCAGGTGACACTGGCCTGAGGACCTCCCTTTGAGAACCACCGGGCTAAGGTAAAACTAGATGATTCACAGCTTCGTGCCTGGGGAAGACTGACACAGAAGTCGTAGAAAGGAGGAAGCATTTGCATTGTGTGGGGCTTGTTTGTCCGTGTGTCTCAAATGTCATGTCCTTAACAAAGCCCGCCCAATTGTTCCTTTCCAATTGCATTGATCCCGATCGTTGCATCCACCTGTATCGTGACATTCTTGAGGGCTCGGGGCTGTACGGGTCACTAGACAACGCTGCCTTTCTCTCTGCCTTGTCTCTCCCTCTAAGCCCCAGGGCTGAGCGCTCTCCTAATCAGGGACCCTTGGAGTCCCAAGGGCTATTTCCTTGCTCTTCCCTGCACCCTCACGCCATCCTTCCCTGGCCCGGGAGCCCCCTCCCCACAACCCCAGGGAACTCATTCCAGCACTGCCACAGTTCCTGATGCCTTTCCAGAATCCCCTCGATCTGGATTGGGGGCCCAGCTGTCTGCTATAAAGTGAGGTGAAGCCAGCTGGGCATTACCACGTGGGTCATGAGCACCTCTGACTTGTTTATAGCTAGTGCTGCCAGATTTACAAGGCACACCCAGTCGTGTTTGAATTTCAGATAAATGATGAATAACTTTTGAGTATATGCATGTCCCCTGTGATATATGGCACACATCATACTGAAAAATTATTTGTTTTTTGGAGTTCAGAGGTAACTGGACATCCTGTATTTTTATTTGCTAAACCTGCAGTCTTATCTGGGCCCCCGCTATTCTCTGAGCACTCAGGACAAGGACCCCTGCCGTCCTTGTCCCTGGTCCCCATCACCCCACAGCTCATGTGCCCTTCATGCATCCTGGTACCTCGTGCTGCACTCAGTCTTCACGTCCATCATCTCCTTTATCCTGAGGCAGCCTGGGGAGTTGCTGCTGTTATAACCCCCACTTTGCAGAGGAGGAAACTGAGGCTCGGGGTAGGTTCTGGACAAATATGTTGAGGAAATGTTAATGGGGAAGAGACCATCAGGGCCTAATTCAGCACGTGTTTGAGGTGAGCTGAATCCCCGAGCAGTGCGGTGTGGGCTGGGCCAGGCCTGGGGAGGATCCTCTTTCAGCCAACCCGTCTTTCAGCTAGGGCTGTGTTTGACCTTTGTGGTTTCCTCGGATGCCTCCACTAGGCTAAATATCAGCCCTGAGCCGTGTGTGCTCGGTGAGCCTACTCCAGGAAGTCCTTACGTTCTGCTTCCTTGGAGCACAGGAAGGCCCCAGTCACCATGACATGCCAGCGTGGGTCTGTTTGCTGCAGGCGACAATACCTCAGGGGTCACAGCAGAGGTGCTCAGACACACAAGGTCACATGTCATGTGATCCCATTTACATGAGATGCCCAGGGTAGTTAAATCTCTAGAGGCGAAAGCAGATGAGTGGTTGCCAGGGGCGGGGGAAGCCTGCCTCATGGATACGGGGTTTCCTTTTGGGGTAAGGGAAGTGTTTTAGAATTAGTTAGAGGCGGTCACACAACATCATGAAGGCACTAAATGTGCTGAGTTGTACACTTTAAAATAGTTAATTTTGTGTTATGTGAATTTCATGACACTGTGCTGGCTCCTGGGCAATGTTGACAGTGAGGGTAAACTGAGGCTCCTGTGCTGGGAGGGTGTATCCAGCCGTTCTTCCCATGAGCTGATTGTGCGTTCCTGATGACGTCCTGAGCTCCGATTGACAGACACCTGTTGAGCAGCCCCTGTGTGCCTGACACCAGTCCCTGACTACTGCCAGGGTGGCTGCCTTGTGTGCAGATAAAGGCATGTAAGCAAGGACCACCTGCTGGCAGTCATGCGGGTGCCACAAAGATCCGGGTACTTACAGGGTAGCAGGTGAACTAACCTGATGTGGGAAGACACCAAAACAGAACAATCCATCCATCTTTAAATGGAGTTTCTTACCCTCGGCGCTGTTGACATTTGTACCAGACCATTCTTAGTTTGGGGGATAAGGGGACATTGTGAGAAGTTTAGCAGCATCCCTGGCTTCTACCCACCAGAAGCCAGTGGGCAAAGTTGTGTCTCATGGGCCTAGAAAATAGATTTTTAGCTAAGTATCCTGCTGCCCAAGCAAAACCAGGATTCTGTTTGGGGGCACAGAGGGTAGGCGTGAGGTGGGGTCTGCTGCAGCTGTCTTGAAGACAGGGCTTTTATCCTGATAGCAACCGGAATCTATCCAGGTGTTTTCCAGCATGGTGTGTGTGTGTGTGTGTGTGTGTGTGTGAGAGAGAGAGAGAGAGAGAGAGAGAGAGAGAGAGAGAGAGAGAGAGAGAGATGTCTGGGTTTACATGTTTCAGGGTCACTTGAGATGCTGTATGAAAAGTGAATTGGGTGCAGTCGTGGCCAGAAAGAAATGGCAAGACCAGGAACAGCCAGGGGCCAGCGCCAATACCCAAGGGCTGCCTCCAGCCATGGTATGATCAAGAACTGAGCACGCTCTTTGGTACAACAGAACCAGATATTGAGAATGGGAAAAAAAATCTGTCCTATTGTGTAATGCACGTTTTCCTTTAAAGTACATCCACGAAGAATGAACGCTGACTGAGGGAATGCTCACGATGGATGGGGATGGACGAGACTGCTGAGAGAGCTGCGTAATTGCTGCTGTGCTGCCCATCGGTGGGCACAGCGAGGTGCAACCCCAGGGAACGCGTGTGGGTGGCAGAGCTTTTCTAAGGAAATGAAGCATTTGAGAGATCATCTGGGGTTGGGGGTGGCTGGCAAGAAGGAAAAGGGGAATTGCCACCTCTGCTTCAGCTAAAGGAAGAGTTAGGCAATACCCCTCCTCTTCCCCTCCGCAGTTCTCAATAACCTGCAGGAAAAGGAAAAGATGATTATCATGTCCTGGGTATCAGAATACCAGGAATAATCTTGCAAAAATACCTAGCACTTCCCTGATTCTGAGTTCTCCTCTGTGTGATCATAGCCTCCCAAAGCCTCCAGGTATCTCATATGGCTTCTTCCCAGGCCCGTGGATCTCAACACAGAATACTCAGACTCTAGAACTTTCTGTCCCCACCCCCCTACACACACATTTATTTTAAATGTCTCCTAGAACCAGGCTGCCGTACCGCCTATCATCAACAGGTGGCAGTCTCTAAAATATGTATGCTTGACTGAGAATTCCAGAAGTTCAACGTTCATGGTTCTCAATACATAAATTGTTGCCCTGCTCTGTCAGTTTTGTGAGTTCCAATTCTGTTAAGTTTGCTTGAAAACAGATGCATCAGAAATAGCCAACGACTGGAAGCAACCATACAGGATAAATAAATTGACATATACTCATACAGTGGAATACTGAGCAGCCACGGAAATTAGCAAGCCAGTGCCACATGCAACATCAGGCATGAATCTCACCAACAACGTTGAGTGAAAGTAATCAGACAAGAGTATATATTGCATATCACCATTTCTATAAACTCCAAACCCCAGCAAAACTAATCTGTAGTGATAGAAATCATGACACCAGATATCCTTCAGGTAGGTAGGTAGCAGAAGGGAGATTCTGGGGCCGGCGATATCTGTTTCTTGATCTGGAGGCTGGTTATACAGGTCAGTCTGTGAGCATCTGAGCTGGACACTTAACGCCCATTTCCTATATATATCTTTTACTTTAAAACATGCATCAGTAAAAACTTCAATTTGCTTAACAATAATCCTGCTTTTTTCACAGATTGATGAACAATGTGAGCTGAAAGCCATTGACAAAGAGAAGTCGGTGGTAGCTCTGCCACCCAGGGAAGCCTGCAAATGCCACAAAGAGGATTTGGCCAAAGCATTTTGTGTAAGAATTGAATTTGCATCTGATGCTCATTGTAATAAGGTTTTTTTTTTTTTTTTTTTTTAAAGATGACCGGTAAGGGGATCTCAACTCTTGGCTTGGTGTTGTCAGCACCACGCCCACCAAGTGAGCGAACCGGCCATCCCTATATGGGATCCAAACCCGGGGCCTTGGTGTTATCAGCACCGCACTCTCCCGAGTGAGCCACAGGCCGGCCCGTAATAAGGTTTTTAGATGAAAAACAACACCCTGAAAACTGCTTTAAAATTCTGTTATAATACATTTTTATTATCATTATTGGGAAATACTATTTATGTTGAACAGTTTCTATTTCCAGGTAGAATATCACCAACACTATTGTCAATTGAGCTAACCTTTGTCAGGCCCTTACTGGAGGACAGGCATCCTTCCAAACATGTCACATACGGTGTTTCTCTTAATCCTCTCATTTGCAGAAGACATGAGGCGTAGGGGATGAAGTAACTGACACAATTATCACGTCACACAGGCCAGCACTAGAAAGCAGCACAGCCCAGGGGCGATCCAGGTGTTCTATCATCAAAGCTCAACCGGTCAACCATCCCCTATTCCCACCCTTCGTCTTTTATAATCCATAGAGGAGCCAGTTCCTGAAATCAAATGCTCACAAATTTCTCAAGTAAATTTGAACTCCTGGCCAGTGCAAGACAAAAACATCCCTGTCCCATGAAGCTTCCCTCTGAGGCTGAAGGACATTGTTTGATTTACGTTTTTAATTTTCTTTACTTAGAAAACAGCAAATGTAATGATATGTGGGTGTGTGCGCTCATAAGCCACCACACTTTGGAAAAGCAGATAAAAATCCAGCGAAAGGGAGCATGCCACAAATCCAAGGAAGTTGGAGATTGATGTTTCAGGCCAGTCTTTTCTAGAGAATAATCCAAAAGTCTGTCTAAATTCAAGTCCTGCTTATTCGTGTTTGGAGAGGGGAAGGAGATATTTTTTCCCTGCCTAGACATTTTCTCTACCTAGAAAATAAGTTTGATTTTCTTTCCCTATTCAAAAAAAAAAAAAAAAAAATCTAGAAATGAACTCATCTTTCCCTGTCACCTTTACCACTACCAAGTACAGCTTTCCTGTTGGTGACTTTTTAAAAACAAGGATACCTCTGCTATGACCAGGACAACAAAGTTCCCTTACATTATTATTTACTCTTGAATTAGCTCTACTTACTGAGTTAGTTATGTAAAGAGCTTGAAGTAGCGTCTGACACAATGTATGCACCGTACAGTAGTTCTAGCTACCATTGTTTCTTAGGACAGGCCTATCTATTTTTTCCTGTTTCTAAAATATTTTCGATTGTGGTAAAATACACAACATAAAATTTGCCATCACCCATTTCTAAGCATACATTTAGTAGTATTGAGCACATTCACATTGCTGTGCAACCTTCACTATTACCCGTCCCCAGAGCTCTTTTCACCTTGCAAAACTCAAACTCTGTACCCACTGAACAGTCACTCCCTGTCCCCCGTCCCTCCAGCCCCTGGCAATCACCATTCTACTTTCTGTCTGTCTGGATCTGACTACTCTAGGGACCTCATACATGCGGAATCATACAGAATTTGTCATTTTGTGACTAGCTTCTTTCATTTAGCTTATATCCTCAAGGTTCATCCATGTACTTGTGGCATGTGTCAGAATTTTATCCCTTTTTTTTTTTTTTTTGGCGACTGGCCAGTACAGGGATCTGAACCCTTGACTTTGGTATTATAACACCACACTCTAAGCAACTGAGCTAATGGGCCAGCCCCTCATTTATTTTCAAGGCTGAATAATATTCCGTGCATGCATATACCACAGTGTGTTTGTCCGTCCATCCATCGAGGCACATGTGGGTTGCTTCCACCTTTTGGCTGTTGTGAGCAGTGCTGCTGTGAACATGGGTGTGCCAATATCCCCTCGAGACCTGCTTTCAGTTCTTTTGGGTATATACCCAAAAGTGGAATTGCTGGATCTTATGGTAATTCTATTTTTAATTTTTTGAGACACTGCTGTACTGTTTTCCATTCCAGCAGCTGCACCATTTTATATTCCCAAAGCCTATTTTTTTTTTAAAGAAAACATGCATTTCTGCATTTCTCGAATTCCATACTATAATTCAATTTGTCGAAATTTAGGCTCTGAGTCATCTTTTCTCCTGTAATTATTGGGCAGTAGTGGTAATTGAAAAAGACTGTGCATGTTTCTTCTCTCTCCGCCCCATCTGCCCTGGGTCTTTGAACAAGTCCCCTCTCCTTTGTGGACAAGCCCATCTTCCTCATCCATCTCAGAAGCGGCAGCTTCTAATGTGGGAATCTGTGACTCAGGCTCCTCAGTCCTTGCTGGGCCCACCTGTGAGCTTGTGCTTGACCATCTCCTTCCAGGTGGACTTACAGAACGGGCTGTCGGAGCTCTCAGTGGCACAGCGCAGGCTGGTCCACGGCTGGAATGAGCTTGTGGCTGATAACACAGAACCGGTGTGGAAGAAATACCTGGATCAGGTAGGACCACAGGTGTCATTCTTTGCAATAACAAGAATCAGCCAGGGAGGGCCGGGCAGTCATTCATTCTTTAAATATTGATTGAGGCTGTCCTTGGACCTGTCCCACCTGGGGCGTGGGGTGAGTGCACTATAAAGATAAGAAGGCTCACTGTCCTCTTTTAGGCTGCTCTTCGCCACAGGAGTAAGTACCGCGACAAAATAACTACCCAGGCAACCAGGTCATGAGTAAAAGTGATTTCATTCATAGAGAATTTACCATGTGCCAAGCACCATGCTAAATGAATAGATAAATAAGTAAGCATTAGTTTACTTAATCCTCCTACTGATCTCCATTTTGCAGATGAGAAGGGTGAAGTACACAGGGGTTGGAACACTTCCCCAGGGTATGCAGAGTTGCCAAATTTAGCAAGTAAAAATATGGGATGCTCTGTTAAATTTGAATTTCAAGGCTGGCTATTTCAAGGTTAGCTCAGCTGGTTAGAGCATGGTGCTGATAACACCAAGGTCCAGGGTTTGATACTTGTACCAGGCAGCCACCAAAAAAAAAATAATAATTGAATTTCAGATATATAAACAAGAGCTGCTTTTTTATTATAAATATATCCCAAAGATTGGAATGGACATACTTATACTAAAAATAATGTTCTTTGTTTATCTGAAATTCACATTTAACTGAGCTTCCTGTATTTTATCTGGCAACCCAAACCAAAAGTCATGTGGCAGTAAGCAGCGATGCTGTGAAGTTAGCCGCTGCCATCAGCGCTGGCACATGTCTGAATGTATGGGCACAGTGAAATGCCCGGAAGTCATCAGGAACAGGAAAGAAAACACTGAAGTGGACGTGGCAGCCAGTTCCAGTCTAGAAGTCAGCACTCCCATCACTTACCCAGCACCAGTTGAGAAAGGCCCAGTTAACAGGCAGGATTTTTCAGATACCTGAGGGCATTCGGGTCACCTGGGACCCCCCCACCCCCCGGCCTCTCACACCCCTTGGCCCATCCCTGGCGCCCCCTCCCCTTTTCTGGCTCCTGGGCTGCCCCAGGCTTCACTGCTTCATATGGGCTCCCTGTGTAAAGCTTTCCCGATTGATCACTCAGGGACCGATGACAGTCCTCCATGCAGCATCCTCAGTCTCCATGGTCCTCGCGGTCCCCACCCAGCTTGTTGCTGAGTGCTCAGTGCTGTGCAGATGAAATTCACTGGCACATTTTGGCACCAGAAAAAGCTTCTGGGTGCACAGGGAGCTCTGGCCAGCTCAGAAGCTTCCTGGAAGCCCAGTGTCGGGAAGAGGCAGTGGAGGCTCCTGGAAGTTGCAGTTCAGGGAAGGAGGCTGAGACCTGGGCTGCGGGGGGCCACTCTCCCTCTGCAGCTGGGGCTCGGCCACTCACCCTGGCTGCCCTTCCACTGGGACCTGCTCCCCGGTCTCCCCTAGTGTCCTCCTTCCCACCTCTGCCCTGGCAAATCCCACTCTGAGCGTCTTCCTTCACACCAGGGGTTCTCTTGCAGCCTCCAGCCAGGGCCTTCCCAGAAATGAAATCTCTTCAATGTCCTGAGAGCACAGGACCTGCTCATTCATCTTGTACCTGTCACTTCAGGGATGCATCTGTGGGAATCCCTGCAGGACTGGAAGGGAGCTCCTGAGGGCCAGGTTTTCCTGCCCTTCAAGAGTACAGAAATTCTGTCTGCACTCACTCATTAATTCCTTATGTTCGTCGAGCTCCTGCGATGTACCAGATGTTGTGATTCTCCTGTCTTCTCTAGTGGCAGGGAACTCACCACCTCACAAACCTACCCTGCTCCCATTATGAATTCTACCTTGGCATGACCCAAGACAGAGTACCTGGAATCATGAGGGGAATGTGAATGAGGATCAGAAATTCTGGATCAAATCTCATTTTCCAGCTGTGTGACTTTGAACAAGTCATTAAACCCCCTTGAACCTTAGTTTTTCCTGTTTAGAAAACAGGACCGTGAATACCTACTGTTGGGAGGACTACCTGAGAAGAATGCTTGGCACATAGCGAGTGCTTAGTAACGGGTGGCCTCTCTTCCACCCACCACCCAAGTGACTACCAGTTGGCCCTAGTTAGAGCGCAGCAGTTAGAGCACAGGTTTTGGAGTTGGACTGGCCTAAATGTAAATCCTTGGGAAAATCGGTTTTTTTCAGAGTCTCAAGTTACTCCTTTTTCAAGCAGTAATATGTAGCAGCGCCTGTGTCATGGGGTTAGAAGAGGCCAGCAAGACGAGGCAGGTAAAGCCCTGGGCACAGGGCATGGCACATAGTAAGTGCTCAGTAAATGCTGGTTGTTTTTATTGTTCCTGTTTATTATAATAAACATGTCTGGTGTATCACTGGTTCTGTGCATAGTAAGGTTTCATCAGTCCCCTTTCTGCCTGTCTCCTTTTACGTGTGGGACTTAGAAGGGGACCCCATGAGCCAGGAGGGATCTGGGTATCCGTGGTCAGAGCAGTGCAAGTGGCATGTGCTGGGTTCTTCCCACTGGATCTGTCACCTGTTTGCTGTGTCTCACGGGGACTCACTCATGTTGGATGGGACAGGACAGGTGCTTGGGACAATCTCAAAAGGAGAGAGACTGGGTAGGCTGCAGGAGAGAAGCTGCTGGTAGCTGGGGTCAGTGTGCAGAACTGGTCGGGTCCAGCCTCTGGAGAGGGGCAAGCCTATGGGACAGGAATTGGATTTCAAGGTGAGACTCAGTTGAGGCCTGCCTGGAGATCAGCACCAGGTTCCAGCTCTCAGAGTGGTCCCAGTTGGGACTGTGGAGCCTTTGAGCTAACCCTGAATCCATGGCCAGCAGTGTCTCTTGTCCAGAAACAGATCAGCGGCTCCCAGAGAGCCTGAGGAGGGTGTGAGCAGCCTGCAGAGAGGGAGGGAGCTGCTCTGCCAGAGCCAGGAGAGGTGACAGCAGGGAGCCAGGTGGCATTAAGGAAGTAACTGGGCAGACAAGGTGCACCTGGGTGGGGCAGATCCGGTGCTGATCTCACCTCTCCTGTACCACGTTGAGCAAGAGTTTCATCCAAGCCTCGGATTTTGCCAGCTAAAAGGTGGGTGTTTGCTGGTTCATCTGTTCGTTCATCTGTTTATTCATTCATTCATTCTGAACGAATGCCTTCCACGTGCTGGCCCATCCTAGACACTGCATAGAGCAGTGGCCAAACCAAGTTCTGCTTTCAGGGAGCCCCTGTGTCAGTGCAGAGACAGACGGATGGACAGCCCCACATGTAATGCAGCACCGGTGGGTGCGGTAGGGCTGAAGGGGTCAGGAGAAGAAGTGAAGGTGCTTCAGCGGGGTGGCGGCTTTGACAGGGTGGTCAGGGGAGGCCATGTGGCTAGCTCTCTGAGGAGGTGATGTCTGAGCAAAGACCAGAACAGAGTGAGGAAAGGAGCTGGGTGAGGATGTGGGTGAATTTGCTGCAGGAGGAGAGGTGCAAAAGCCCTGAGGTGGAGCCAGCCTGGTGCCTCTGAGGTGGCTGGAGAACCCAGGTGCCTGGAACTCGCGTGCGATAGGTATTTGGGGCGTGTCGTGCTCCTCCTGCCACCCCTGCCCCTGTCACTTTTGTCCAGCTGAATGGGGAATCTGTGATGAGCTCAGGGCTGAAGTGAAATCTTAATCTTGACTCTCTGAACTGAGGGGCTTTTTCTTCCCTGTTCTGGGTTGAACGATGTCCCCCCAAAATTCACGTCTGCCCAGAACCTCCGAATTTATTTGAATCCTGAAATTTATTATTTATGACTTTATTTAAGAATAGAGTCTTTGCAGATGTGATTAGTTGAGTGTATACTGGATCAGGGTGGCCCTAGATCCTTATAAGAGGCCCATGTAGAGAGGCAGACACACGCAGGGAGTGCCCTGTGCGTCAGAGGTAGGGAGTGGAGCGGTGTGTTTACAAGCCAAGGAACACCAAGGATTCCTGGCAACCCAGACGGAAAAGGCAAAGAAAGATTTTTCCCAAGAAAGCCCTGCTCACACTTGATTTCAGACTTCTGTCCCCTAGAGCTGTGGGAGAAGACATTTCTGTTGGTTGAGTCACCCAAACTTTATTACAGCAGCCGCAGGAAACTTATATCCTCCCTGTATCAGGCTTTCATGAGCTCACACTTCCCTCTTCAGCATTTCATCCTCCTCTGGACTTCCAAGGAAAGGGCCGGTCCACGCCTGGTGGTGCCTGGCCTTGGCTGTTCTCTGCCAGATGACTGCAAGTCCGGCCCAAGGCTCTCAGCAGCCCCTCCCGCTGCCAGCTGTCCCCATCCGCCCACCGCCAACAATGATAGGTGCTCCAGAACCAAAACTGGGGCTTCCTCTCAGATCAAAACCTTTTTTTTAGGGAAAATCTCAAAAATATATAAAAGCAGGGCCGGCCCGGTGGCGCACTGGATAGTGCGCTGCTTGGGAAGCGCGGAGGCGCTCTCGCCGAGGGTTCGGATCCCACATACAGACCGGTTCCCGCTCACTGGCTGAGCGAGGCGCAGGGGCAACACCGAGGGTTGCGATCCCGTTGCCGGTCCCGGTCCGGTACGGGGGCAACACTGAGGGTTGCAATCCGTTGCCGGACATGGAAAAAGACAAAAAATATATATATATATATATATATATATATATATATATAAGCAGAGAGAAGAATATCATGACTTCCACATACCCCTCGCTTTGCTTCCATGTTATCAACATATTTTGTCACATTTTTTTAATCCCTCTCTTTTTTCTCTGTAGTATTTTAAAACAAATTCTAGACAGTGAATCATTTTACCGATTATATTTTGGTATATGCCTCCGCTGATAGAGTACGTTTTTCTTTCTCTTTACTATAAGAATACTATTATCCCACTAACATCGTTAACATGTCATAATATCATCTAATTCCCAGCCCATAGTCAATTTTCCTCACACGCCTCAAAGATGGTTTTTTACAGTTGGTTTATTAGCATCAGAGTCTGAACAAAGCCCACCTTTGCTTTGGGACAGTGTGTCCTTGGGATTTTATTCTAAGCTCTTTTTTTCTAATCTGTGAATTCATGCCTATGGAATGGCTTATGGAGGTCCCCAGAACTAGTGGACAGTTTATTTGCACATTGAAGACATCACCCTGGAGAAGCCTGAAGCTTAGTTCAGTGAGGTCTGTCTCGGGAACGTTGATGCAGATCTGAAGTTTCTGTGGGAAGCTCTTCTGCAGGCCTCCCTGGGTCTCAGCAGGCAGGCGGGCATGGAGGTGCGGTTCTTCCTGAAAGCATGAAGGCATGAAGGCTCCCCATCCCACCCCTGGCTGGCCCTGGCAAGAATGGATGGGAAAACTTCCCAGCTATTGGATCAAGAGCCCTGATACATAGGCCATTTTCTGGAACTGAAGTGGCCACAATTCTTCCATTCAACTAGTGTGTATTGAGTGCTTTCTATAATCAGCCTTGTTTACATAGCTACTGTTTCTTGAGCACCTACTGTGTGCCAGCCACTGGGCAGGAATTAATAAAGGTGGTAATGAGTCACTCTCTTGAAATATATTCTGTGCTCTCTAGCACCCCCAGTGGAAGGTCACTCAAGGACAAACTCCTTTGTACCGAGCATGCTCAGCCACTGGAATTACATAAGTCTGCCTCCTGCAGTCTCAGTCTCTACATGTTGGTGCTGAAAATAGGTACAACTAGCAACAGTAGCTCGGGACTCAGAGGAGGGGCTTGAGTCCTAGGGGAGTGGTTTGAGACCTGGGGGAGTGACCTGAAACCCAAGCCCAGGGAAACAAAGCACCTCCTATCTCAAAAACAGTTGCTATGGCAAACTCAGGGCTACTGGTGAGCTGATCACAAAGTGTCCTGTTCCTCATTCAGAGGACATAAAGCATGGCAGTTTCTGGAGGTGGGAAGGGTGTTAAAATCTTTCATACCTCACAGTGTCATGGCACTGATGTGCTTCTTCTCATGAAGAGCATGAATCTAGTGTTTGATCACATTTCCATTTTTGCCTTGGCTGTTGGAAAGCTCAGAGCCCACCATGCAGCCCTGTTTTAAACAATTATGATTCACTTGTTGATGTTTTAACTCCCCTCCCTGATCCTGATCTTTAGTCTATTCTCTCCAGTCCTGTTTTTACGTGTTTGTGCTTCCTTCCAATTCTCTGTAACATGAGCTATCATAAAATGTCTCTATGAAATGAAGGACAGGTACATAAAACAATAAAGTAAAAATGCTTTGGGGTATTTTTCTTGAGCAAGAGGGACTTCACTGGAATCCCCAGAGGCTATTATAGGTGCAGGTTGGTGTCCAAGTTTGGGTGATTGATATACACAGGATTTGGGGGGCTGCTGTGGTGAGAGAGGACTCCTTGGCCATGTTGAACCAGGGCTGGCATCCCACCAGAGGTCCTCTCCCAGAGCATCAATGTGGTAAGGTGAGACCAGGAACTCTAAATCAGGGCCGGGGCAGTGTCTTGATGGGGACAGCATCAAGATGGCCCCAGGAAGGTCAGGAATGGTGGAATTTCAGGCAGAGGAGGACCATTGGATGGGGTGGTCTCCCTCCCCTAGCCTTGGTCACTGAGGTGTTGACCTGCCCTCTGTTTGGTCTTTCAGTTTAAGAACCCCCTGATCCTGCTGTTGCTGGGCTCTGCCTTGGTGAGCGTCATCACCAAGGAGTACGAGGATGCTGTCAGCATCGCCATGGTGAGTGAGAGGCACCTGGCTCCCAGACGGGGCTGGCCAGGCCTCTGCTTGTGGTTATGCAAAGAAAAAAGAGTTTACTGTAGGAAAAAAAAATAGAAAATGCAGTGGAAAGAAAGGAAAGCAAACCTGTGTCCTCCTTAACCCCCAATATCAAGGTGTCCTGGTTTATCCGACTGTTGCTCTCTGGGTAGACACCTAAGCTGCTTCTAGTTCTTTGCTGTTGGAAATGACATTGCAGTAAATTTCTTTCCTGTGACCCCTGGAATGGAAAGGCTCGATCCTGGGCTATGCACATTTACACTATAGAGATTAATCGTCCTTAATCCATTACCCAGGTATAACCACTGAGCACCTAATTAAAAAAAAAATTTATTTAGGTGAAATTCACATAGTAAAAAATTGACCATTTTAAAGTGAACAATTTAGTGGCATTTAGTACATTCATGATACTGTGCAGCTGGCATCTCTTGTCTAGTTCCCAAACATTTCATTACCCCCAAAGGAAACTCTGTTACCAGTAAATCGTCACTTCCCATTGCCCGTCTCCCCAGCCCCTGGTGACCTGCCTCTAGGGGTCTACCTGTTCTGGAAATGTCATAGAGATAGAATCACACACCATGCAGCCTTTTATGTCTGGCTTCTACTGAACGCCTTCTGATGGCTGTCGCTCTTACTCCTTTCCGTCTGTGCAAGTTATTCTTTTAAAATACAGAAACAGATACACACAATGGAACTCGCTGCTTCTGTTTAAAAGGCTGGGGTTGGATCCACATGTACCAATGTGGAGTGATGTTTACACCCTGTTTATGAAAGACTGTATTATGTGATGCCTTGTTATAAGTGTGTCTATGTAGAAAAATCTAGACAGGTACCCCAAATGTGCATCTCTGGGTAACAGAATTTGAGGTGCTTTTCTGCTCTTTTGGCTCGTCGGTTTTCTAAGTGTCTGCACAGTGCACCTATATTGCTTCATCCTCTCTGATAATTGTGCTGGTGCTAACACCACCCTGCACCCCGTTTGCTTTGCAGGCTGTGCTCATTGTGGTCACCGTCGCCTTCATCCAGGTATGTATTACCTGAGGTCTCGGTCAGGGTGACCTGGGCATGGTGGGAGTTTAATGGCGCTCCCACCTCTGAACAGCATGTCTGATGTGCTTCCTGCCAGGAGTACAGGTCGGAAAAGTCTCTGGAAGAGCTTACCAAGCTGGTTCCTCCAGAATGTAACTGGTAAGTCGGAGCCTCCCTGGGACTTTTTGGTTCACTGGAGGAGCCAGAAGGCTAGTGAGTTTGGCAAATGTTCAGCAAAGGTGGTATCCTTTGTAGCATAATAAAGGAGAACCACGTCTTACTGGGAGTTATGAGACCTGGTCTCTGCCCTACTAACAGACTGCTGTGTGTCTTTGGGTATGTCACTCAGCCTCTTTGGGCCTTGACTCTATCATCAGTGCCTAAATCAGGTTACCTAGCTTAGGGGCCGTGGATGGTGGGGGTGGGCTATGAAATAGTACACAAAACTGTGTGCATTTTTTCTTGGGGGAGGGTTCAGAGGTTTCATTGGATTTTCAAAGGATAGACTCAGAAGAGGTTAAGATCCAAGACTTTAAGAACCCAAAGCATCAGAGCACTGGTTGTATGGTGGGGCAGGCCGAGAGAATGAACTCTGGGCATTTGCTCAGCAGTCCCAACAGTCTCTTTGCTCCTACAAAAAATGTTTAAAAAGGAAAAAGAAAAGACAAACATGTCCACCAGTACCTCAATGGTATTTCTGCTTAGTACAGCACTGTGCAATCAAACTTTCCGGAAATGTTCTATAATCTTCCCTGTCCAGTACAGCATCACTAGTCACATGTGGCTACCAAGGACTTCAAATGTGACTAGGGGGACTGAGGAATTGAATTCTTAATTTTATTTAGTCTTAATTAATTTGAATATAAATATGCAAACAAGCCTAGTGGCTACCATATTGGACAGCCCAGGCTTGGAATGTTTTTGAGCACCCTTCTTTTAGGGACAGCTGCCATTAGTAAAGAAACCAGCAGGCACAGAAGGGAAGATGGCTTTTTCTAAGTTCAACTTTTAGTATACCAGTAGTCCCTGAGTTTACTCTCCATCTAAAAAATGAAATGATTTCCAAAAAGGCCAATATCTTCTCTCTCACCCCTACTAACATTGGTTAAGGTCATTTCAGGATAATGTGTCTCTCTGCAATATACATTGCTGCTCAAAATAAAGTAATTCAAAGTATCTCATGATCTGAGGTACCTTGGAAGGACTTAAACATATTTATTTCTATTTTCTGAGGAATAATCTTGGGGGAAGGACCTTAGCATATCTTGGGCATGTGCTGCACAGCTGAGCCACAGCACTGAGAGTAGAAAGCTCCAGTGCGATCCAGTCCCACCTCTTGAGGAATCTGCACTCAAAGAGCATGTGTGTGATACAAGGCAGAGAATGATGAGTGACAGAAGAGGGACAAAAAAAGAATGACAAGGTAGCAGGAGGGAGAGCACGTCAATTCTAGAAGGGCCATTGGGGGCAGTAAAAATGTTTGGGCTTCCAGATGTTTTGGGTGAACAAGGCTGTCAGAAATCCAGATGTGTGATGTAATCATACAAGCAATTGGACATATAAATAATTCATGAGGCTTGATGATCCCATCTTAAGTTTAAATGTCAAGGCTTGGCCTTTCAGGTGAATAGTATTCATTATTGTTGCCCCCAGAAGTCACTTCTAAAAGGCAATTTTATTTTCAAAAACAGTGGTGGCAGGCAGCCCCGTAGAGTTGAAAGAAACCCCCATCTGAACCTCCAGGACCCATTTTGCAAACCGAGGGCAGCACTGCCAAGTGCTGTGTTATCTCCATCCTCTGTGCATTAATCAAATATTTATTGAGCACCTACTGGTGCTGGGGGAGCGGTGCCAAGGCTACACCAATGGAACACATAGGAAGGCTTGGGCCTCCGGAGGCCTCGCGTTCCTCCCAGAGTGAGCAGGTAATAAGCTAGCGAAGAGACGAGATGATTTAGAAATGTGGCATTCACATTAGAGCCTAACTCCCCCACCAAAACGCAAAGCCAGACGAAAATCAAAACAACAAACAAAAAACCCACAGAGAGATAATAGTGACTGGTGGAGGGAATGGGGACAACTCTACATAGCTGGTGACCAGGTGCCCTGATCTGACGTTCAAGGAGGAGCTGACATTTTAGCTGAGCCTGAGGAATGGGGACCAGCGTGGGAGGAGCTGAGGGCTAGGCAGGTGCAGGTCCAGTAGGCGTTCCTGGCTATGTGGAACGTAAAACTCACTCGCACAAACCACAGGGAAGTCGTGTTGTTGCATAGCGAGGGGTCGGAGGCAGGGAGCAGTGGGGTTTGCTAACTGAAGACAGCACAAACGGCCTGGTTCCTTTGCCTCCTTACTCTGCTCTCTTGAGCTTCTTGGCTTTGTTCTCTGGCTGGCTATCCTTGTGGTCCCAGGACAGCTGCCATAGCTCCAGGCATCACAGCCGAACATGCAAAGGTCCCGCAGAAGAGGAGACTGTGTGTGTGTGTGTTTACAGACTGAAGAAGCCTTTCCCATGAGCCCCCTGCAAACATCTACTCATGTCTTACAGGCCAGCATTAACAAGGAAGAAGGGAATGTCTGCTTTAGCATTCAAGGTCTACAAAGACTCTGAGGCCAGGAAGAGCTGGGTGTGTTCAAGGGCTAGATGGAATGAGAGGGGAGCAGCAGGCTGCAGGCCCGGGCTGAGAAGGCCTTAGTAGGGCCTTTGCATTTGATTCCAGGGTCATGGGAAAGCCATTGAAGGATTTGGAGCAGGAGGGAGTTACGGTCTGATTTTTGTGTTTTAAGAGCTCCCTGGTTGCCATGCATAGGATGAATTGAAGGGGGCCGGGGGGAGGAGAGTCCAGCTGGATGGACAAGTGGGGGTGGGATTGCAGTCGGAGCCTGTGCACGGAGGCACATCCATGGTCTAAAGTCTGGTGGTCATGGCCCTGTGCGAAAGGAGGTCGTGGACTTCACAGGCACCTAAGATGCTCCTCCTAACTGTGACACGGCTCCACCATCTCTGACTTCCCGAGATGGGTTCTACACCCAGAGTGGTGTGTTCTCTGAGGACAGAAGCTCTGCTCACTGTGGCACCATTAGGAGGCTTTAGAATCACTGGCCTAGACCTGCAGAAGCTTCTAGAGGGCACACTACCCAGCCTTGTTTCTAGGCAGGTAAACTGTAGTAGCCCTGTTTTTCGGGTGAGGCTCAGAGCTGCACAGAAGCCGCACACTTTCCCAAATGTCTTTTAGGATATGTGAGTTAAAAGTAAATAAACAAAACCATAGAGACACAGGGATGTACATAATTGAAAGAGAAAGCGCTTTTCTATGATCTTTGCTGTATGTATCAAGGTGCATACAGACGGGGTGTGAGTGTGTGCCTTTGCTTTCACCATTTCCAATGCAGCATAAGAGAAGGAAAACTCCAGCACCTGCTCGCACGAGAACTGGTTCCTGGAGACATCGTGTCTCTCTCCATCGGAGACCGGATCCCTGCGGACATCCGACTTACAGAGGTGAGGCTCCCAACCCTTGTTGATGGGAGGTGAAGACATCAAGCTTGTGACAGCCATGCTTTTTCTCTTCCTCTCTCTCACACACATACATGTACATATACACGTGTGCACACATGCATGTGCACACACTGGCATACATGCACATGTACACATATACATGCACATGCATGCGTGCAAACCAGCCAGGAAGTTAGCAAGCAAGCTAATTATAAGCATAAAGTCCCTCAAGCCACATTTCGTAACTTACTTATTCTCATTTTAAGTATAAGCCTAATGAATTTATGTTACGTGATTTTCCAGTTTACAGCAGGCTGCAGTAGCAAAGTAAACTAAGGTAGGGCTGGGGAATGAGGCAGGAGTTGCTTCTGGAAAAGGACACACAGATGTCAGAAAGAAGTGATATCAGACTGCTTAATAATGAGGAGGGAAACAGAACCAATGAAAACATAAAAAGCACAAGATTTTCCAGCCCCGTGGTTTGGGGACATCGGGGGTAGGGCAGTCTCCTCCCCAACATTTGTCAGTCTCACCTTCATGGAACAATCTATTTGAAGTTATCCTGGATTCTTGAGAAAAGGTTAAATCAAGTTCAGCATGATCTGTCGATGGGAGAAATCTATTTTATGAATCCTTCCAAGAATGTGTAAGAACTATTCAAAGCTTTTAGTCATAAAGGATTAAGCGTAGGTTATCTGCCCGATGTATTTACAGATGTGTTCTTAGGAACCAGAGGATCAACATGCTGTTCAAAGGTTGGCTTTGGGCTGGCCTGGTGGTGCACTGGAGAGTGTGCCGCTTGGGAGCGCGGTGGTGCTCCCGCCAAGGATTCGGATCTCATGTGGAGACCGGTTCCTGCTCACTGGCTGAGCGCGGTGTGGGCGCAACACCGAGGTTGCGATCCCGTTGCCGGTCCCCGGTACTGGCGCGACACCGAGGGTTGCGATCCCGTTACCGGTCAGTAAAAAAAAAGACAAAAAGACCAAAAAAAAAAAAAAGGTTGGCTTTGAGGGAGGGCATGGAGAGGGGCAGCGCTGGAGCCCAGCCTCTGGGACCTGTGTTTACAACTTTCTCATCCAATCTGTGACATCGAGGCAGGGGCCAGAGGGCCATCTTATGTGTAGACACTCAGACAGTCCAACCTCTCTGCCCCTGACTTTCACATCTCTAGGCAGGGCAGGGCAAAGGTGAGGGGTGCTCAGGATGCCAGATTAAGGAGGGTGCACGCCCTGGCTCATGCTGGTGCCCTTGTAGCACCAGAAGTGGAATCTTCATGGTCCCCGCCTCTCCTGTATTTGGCACTAGCATTGGCACCCTGACTCCCAGTCTGGGGGTGTTGATCTGATCAGAGGAACCACTGTCAACTGGCAAGCCCCACCTGTAGGGAAGGTCTGACGTTTTCCACTTCTCTGTTGAGTGGATCTGGACCCCACTCATAATGCACCAGGCATGGAGTGGGGTCCAGATCCTGGGCAGCCAATAAGGAGGACATGTGTTCAGTGCAAGTGCAGTTATAGATGCAAAGAGAGGCAGTGCAGACAGATGGTTAGTGCCCTGGGGCTGGGCATGGGCCTCCATCTGAGCCCTGGCTCTATAATTCAAAGCTGTATGACTTTGAGCAAGTTACTTAACCTCTCTGTGCCTCAGTTTCCTCATCTGTAAAATGGGGGATGATAATGTCCATAGGATTACATAACCTCATAGATGCAACATGCCCAGCACAGTGCCTGGCGTGGCTGAGTGTCAGGCAAGTGTGTGGCTGTCATTACTGCAGCATGTGCCAGGAGTCAGCAAACCCTAGGCCACAAGTGCTGTCCCTGCATCTCGTAATGGGGGACTTGGGGAAGGGATTCACCTCTCTAAGCCTCAGTTTCCCCATCTCTGAAAGGATTGGTTTCCACTCCATGGGGCTGTGGTGAAGAAGAAACAAGCAATGTCCTATAATATGCTTAGCACATGCCTGACATGAGGTAACAGTCATCAGGCGTTAGTAATTGATTTTATTTTTTATCATTATGGGTCTCTGCAGCAGTTCTTTGAAACAAGTTTTTAAACCCCACATGACTCCAGTTAGCTCAGTCGGTTAGAGCACAGCCTTGTAACACCAAGGTCGAGGGTTCAGTTCCCTATACCAGACAGCCTCAAAAAATCCAATAACAAAAAAGCAGCCAAATCACTGTTACTACCTGAACTGTCTCTCTCCCAGTTCTACCCTGTGTATTCCTACTGAGGAGGTTTTCCTCAAGGCCACCAGCCATGAGCACACTGCAGACTTCCCTCTCTGTATTTTTCAACTCTATGGAACAATCAGTAGCTTTGTTTGTTCACAGTGGGAAACCTTTATCAGCTACTAAGCTCTGAACCCCGGGAGTGCTTTATACACATTTTTAAACCTTTTTGCATAGTGTGTGGGGATCGGTCATGAAACATTATTTTCTCTTTCCCAGAGTTAAAACAATAGCAAAGTCCTCAGTCAAAGGCTGACCTCGTACAGCCAGGGAGGCAGGTCATTGTTCATTCTTTTTTTCTTGTACCATTTCTAAAATAAAAAGGCAACTGAATCGGAGTTGTCAGGATTCCAAGTAACGCTCCGTCTTGGAGGTCAGAGCAAAGGCTGGGAGCCCTGCGTGGGGAGACAGGAGCAGTCCATGCACCTAAGCAGGAAGGGAGCCCCACCGATGTCCTGCCCTGTCCCCTATCGCCCCTCACCCAAAATTGAGCCCTGGAAGTTCACCAGAAGCTCCGCCCACCCACCAGCCCCCCACACCCCGGTTCTGCCCCTCCTTGGCCTGGAAGCTCCACCTGAACGTCTGCCTCCCTCAGTTTACCTCAGATGAAGGGAACTTATGTTTTTCTATATATATGAGGGCACTTCAAAAGGTCATGGGAAAATAGAATTTAAAGATAATACGAATCTCTCCATGAACTTTTGAAGACTCTTCATATCTATCAAGTCTGTGCTCACCGCTCATATGTAAAAACTGCCACATGTCATCTCCCAACACTCTTATTTTTCCTTGTTTTACAACAAGGATGCAGCAGCCTGGAGAGGTTGGGCAGCCACCTGAGGTCACATGGCAGGGGGATCTGAACCCAGGCAGACTGGCCCCAGAGCGCACGTCCTCCATCACAGTGGGTTCTCTTTCCCTGTGGCTAGCTCTTCTGACTTTTTTCTGGCTCTCTGTGTCTCCTGGGTTTCCTCAGTGTATCAGTTTCCTATGGCTGCTGTAACAAATGACTGCTCAGTGGCTTAACACACATGTATGATCTTACAGTTCTGGGGTCGAAATCAACAGTCTCAGCAAGGCCTCTGGAGGCTCCAGGGGAGGATCCCTTGCCTTGCCTTTTCCAGCTTTGAGAGGTCACCTGCAGTCTTGCTCATGGCCATGTCACTCCACCTGCTGCTCCTACTGTGTCCCTGACTCTCAGACATCTCTCTGACCCTCCCACCTCCCCCTTATAAGGAACCTGTGATTCCACTGAACCCATCCAGTGTTGCTTTGCCTCCCACGGATTTGTCACTCCTTTTCCTCTGGGTAATGGAGCCACCAAAGATTACTCAAAGCCCATCTCTTCTGAGCAGTGAGACGCCCCAGAAAGGGGTCAATCTCCTGGAACCCTCAAGCGAGAGGCATTCCTTCCATTTGGGAAATTAACCATGAATTGGGGTTCTCTTCCTGAATTTATTCTCCAGCCCAGGAAGTTACAGGAGGAGAGATAGGTGGGGTTTTTGCTAAGTATAGTTTAACAAGTTTAACAATACAAGCTGGTAACGTGCAATTAAGTTGATCCACTAACAACAGCTTGATTTTAGCAAACATTCCTTCTCCCTTTAGCAGCTTCCCAGTAACTTTACATATCAATAAGTAACTTGTCTGTTTTAGAACCAGCAGCCTTGCTGTGTTACAGCTCTTTATCTTACAACAGAGACTAAACAGCCTGGGGGAAATTTCCTGTTTTTTGTAAGGTCAATATTTGAAACTGCAAGGCTTTGGAAAACCAGGCCCTGTAAAGTACATTTGCTTTATGCATACTTCACAACCCAGATAATCCAGGATAATCTCCCTATCTCAAGGTCTTTAACTTAATCACTTCTGCAAAGTCTCTTTTGCCCTGTCAGATAACACATTCCCAAGTCCTGAGGATTAGGATGCGGACATCCTTGGGGGGTGGGCCACATTGAAGGCCCTTCTCCAAGCCTGTCTTTCCTCCCTTCCTGCCTCAGGACACCCCATCTGCACCCCCATCTCCATCACTCATCCATTCTACAAATATTTCTTGAGCACCTGTTATGTGCCTGGTACTGTGCTGGGTGCTGAGGATACCATGCAGAAAACAGATTTGGTCCCCGTGCTTGTGGGTTTATAGCCCAAAGTTCCAAACCTAAATCTACTCACAACTCAATGTCTTCTGGGGGAGCTATGAGAGGAATTCTGCATTTCCCAAATGGGAAAGACTTGCCAGGCCTGGTGCAGTCAGGGAGGACTTCCTGGAGACAGCGGCTCTCAAGTTGACCTCAAAGGTTGAATGGACATGAATCAGCTGTTCTAGGCAGAGGAGGCCCAAGCTACATGCCTGGCCCTGATCTACAAGCCAGCTGAGTTGCTGCTTTCTAGTGCCTATGAGACGTGTCCATGCAGGGAGCCACCATGTGGGAGGGCCGTTTCTGCCACCTGGAACCCTCTCTCCACCATGTGTGATTTAGCCCTTCCTGTCCCCGAGATCTCTGCTCACTGTCCCTTCCTCCTGGCCTTCCCTCCCTACCCTGTGCACCCTGGTATTTGTTCCGGTGTTTACTGTTTGCATGTCGGTCGCCATCTCCACGAGGGTGAGGATTTGCCTGCTACTACATCCTCAGCACCCAGAGGAATGCCTGGTCCATAGTGAGAGATGGACAGACAGACAGACACACACACCACCTCTGTTCCACTCCATCCAGCCCCTCACTCTTTCCCACCTGTGCCCTCTTCTCTCTGAGCTCCCTCCGTCTTTCCTGCATCTCTGGCTAGCTGTCCTCTGCACAGACATCTTTGTCTCTTCTCTCGCTTCCTTTCCTCATTTAAAAAAAAGTTGCTTTATTTTTTAGAAAAGTTTTCGATTTACAGGAAAATTGAGAAGGTAGTACAGAGGGTCCCCATAACCCCGCCCCCCGTTCCTCTACTGTTAATGTCATGCCTTACTATGGTGCATTTGTTACAATTAATGAACCAATGTCCATATGTTAATGTTTAACTAAAGTCCGTGTTTTCTTCAGATTTTCATAGTTTTTCCCTAATATCCTTTTTCTGCTCCACAATCCCACATGACATTTAGTTGTCATGTCTGTTTAGGCTTTTCTTGGCTGCGACAGTTTCTGACTTTCTCTGCTACTGACGACCTTGACAGTTTTGAGGAGTACTGGTGAGGTATTTTGTAGAATATCCCTCAAGCTGCCTCCAAAAACCTTCCCCAGGATTGTTCATGACTTCTCCTTACACCCCATTGTCCCGAGCATGAGGGACGCTGCGAGCTGCCAGGGAGGCTGGGCACGTGGGCACATGGGCATGCAGCTGGACTCATCACCGCTCCCAAGACCACGGGGGCCCATCAAAGAGGAAGGGGGGGAGATGGGCGTTACCCAGGCAAGTGGGGGCCCCTGTCATCCTTGGGGGCTGAGATCCCATGCAGTGCACATATTTGTGGGAGATTGTTATTGAATTTTAAAAGTTTTAAATTATAGAGAACTCACAGACCCCTGTTTGAGAACTGCTGATCTGTTGTGCTCTTGTACCATTTCTAAATGGTACCAGAAGGGTTTGTGGAAGATGACTTCTCTAAATCGATCTTATACACTTGATGACAAGGTCCTGAGGGACAGGGCCCACCCTAGACTCCTTATCCATCCTCAGTGGTATCTGGCATGGTTCTGGCCATAGGAGCCTCACCTGTGAGTGATCGTGCTGGGTCTGTGGTCGAGAGGCAATTTTGGAAGATGCTGAGAGTGCAGTTTCTGGAACGAGAGCCTTAGTTCAAATCTCTGTTCTGCCACTAACCAGCTGTGGAAACTTGAGCAAGTGACTTAATCTCTATGCCTCCATTTCCCCATATGTAAAATGGATAAAATAGAATCTTCCGTGCAGGAGGATGTGCAAGGACCAAGAGATAAGGCTCGGAAAGAGCCCAGCCCAGGGCCTGGCATATAGCAAGTGTCCATAAATGTTAGCATCTCCCTTCTCCTTCCTGGGGCACGTGGGGGGTTTGGTGTTCCTGTGTGTGTTTCTGGTGTTAACCTTAGATTGTCACTGAATAACCCGGCCCAGTTATTATATGGGATTGTACGGGAATCTCCGAGGCGGGCAGGCTGAGTGTTAGGGCAGAACACAGGTGCTTATAAAAGCATATTCTAAAATAACCATTGCTTTAGTTTTTTAAGTTATATTAACATTTCAAATACAACTAAAAGAAGATATGAGACTTGTGTTTTTCAAGAAGGGCCACACGTTCAAAGCTTTCCTGACTCCTGGAGGCATCCGAGGTCATGATTCCGATATTCATTTCTTAAGTTTGATGTGTTCCCTATTTGACGTCCATTAAGGTGCTGGATACATTCTGTGCTTTTAAGACCAATTTTCGGGGAGGAAGTGGGGAGGGTGTTCCATGACTTCTTTCTCTCTACTCTGCTAGGTCACAGACCTCCTGGTAGATGAATCCAGTTTCACCGGAGAAGCTGAGCCGTGCAGTAAGACGGACAGCCCCTTGAGTGGCGGAGGGGACCTCACCACCCTGAGCAATATCGTCTTCATGGGGACCCTGGTGCAGTACGGGAAGGGGCAGGTAAGTCCAGGGGGCTCCTGGGGCTGTGGCCTCCCATCACCTACAGGCCTCCAGCCCTCAGATTTTATGCTTTTTCTCTCCAATACAGGGAGTCGTGATTGGAACAGGGGAAAGGTCTCAGTTTGGAGAAGTGTTTAAGATGATGCAGGCTGAGGAGGTGAGGGGCCGTGGCACTTCGGTTTTGTGAGCTGGGGTTTGAGATTATTCTAGGTGAGTGAGACCAGCCCTGCCTCCCCTTCGGAATGAGGAGGAGGTGGTTAATGTGAGCATCTTTTCACACATCTTTATTTCAAAACATCGGTTAGCATTTTCATCAACATGTAACTTTCTGGCAATAACATACACAGATCTTAGGTGTGGAAGTCAGTGAGTTCATGTAGGTGTGCACCCCTGTGTGGCTGCAGTCAGATCAAGCCATAGGACAGCAAGGCGAACACACTGTGAAGAAAGCCAGGCTGAGGCTGGGGCACGTTGCTGGGACCTTGTCAAACAAATCCATTGTTCCCACCCTTCCAGACGCCTAAAACTCCTCTACAGAAAAGCATGGACAGTCTGGGGAAGCAGCTGACACTGTTCTCATTTGGCATCATCGGTGAGTGAAGCGGCTTCTGTGCTGGGTTCTGGAGACAGGGGGAGCCGTCCTGGGGCAGCTGTTGCCCAAACATCTTGCCACTCACCTGCGTGAGGCCTGGGGATTGGGATCAGAGACCCTCCAACAGCAGCAAGAGGTTTCTGCACTAGGCCAGACTGGCTGCTGTAACACGCAGACCCTGCATTTTAATGGCTTAACATAGTGAAAGTCTGTTTCTCGATGACACCACAGTCCAGGGGCGTGTTCCTGGATAACTCACCTCAACTGCTGACCTGGGCCCAGGCCTCTGCTGTGTTGTTGCTCTGCCTTCCTCTGTGTCCTTGGAGGCCATAATTCTACTCACCTGGCAGGCACAGAAAGAGAACACGGAGGCTTGTGGGGGAAGTTATTAAGGCATGCACCAGAAAGTAGAATCATAGCTCTTGCCCTTTTTCTGTTGGCCAGAATGGAGTCACATGGCCTACCCAACTGCAGAGGAGTCTGGGAAATGTAGTTTAACCATGCACCCAGCCATATTTTTATGCTTCTAAGCAAGCTGTTCCTGGGCTGGTGCTTCCCAGCCTTTGGCAACACACCAGACAGCATTAACATGATGCTGCACACCTAAATTTAGGTCTTAAGCCTTAACATCTTCAAGGGGCTGTCCTGATCCCTTCACCTGCTCCTTCCTGCTGTTTCCAGCTCTGGCCTTGATTCTGTGCCTTCATTCTCATCTTTCATGATCACCCAGTGCCTCACCCATATTAGCTTCTCAATAAACATTTGTTGAGTAAATGATTTAATAAAGGAGCAAACCAATAAACCACTGCCCATGGTACATGCAGTGTTGTGGAGAAGTCCTGGTGAGTCTAGCTGACACTTCAGAGCCAGAGAAAGTTCTTGGGAGAAACAGCTGTTCCTCCTAGCTGCAATTTTGTTGTGCATCTGGCCACATAGATGCATTAATTCATTTAGTGAGTGTCCTATGACATGCTGAACCTGTGCTAGGTTCTGGGGCCACCAAGATGAGTCAAACAGTTTCTGCCCTTAGATTGGCCACAGTCTAACAGGAGAGAGACAGCTGAACAATATGAAAGGTGAAGGCAGCAGTTACTCTTGTTTGGAAGAGCTGGGAGGGCTCCAAGGAGGAGGTGATATTAAACTGAGTCTTGCAGGATGAGTAGGAGTTTTCCAAATGAAAAAAGAAGGGAATGGGAATTCCAGGTGGAGGAAGCAGTATCAGAGCATAGAAGGTGGGTACCTTATGAGAGGTGGTGAATTGAGCAAAGTGGTTAGAGGATGTGCTCTGCAGCCACATGTCCTGGGCTACAGGCCTGGTTCTGACACTTCTAGCTCTGCCACCCTGGGCAAGTTACATAACCGCTCTGAGTTGTGCTGTTCCTGTCTACAAGAGGAGGCATAATCCCACTGCCTGTCCCACAGGGTTGTTTGTGAGCATGCCAGGAGTTAACACATACGAAGTGCCCCAGGCCCTATCTGGCCTAGAGGGGTGGTTGTCATTATGGTGTCCATACATGATTGAACACTTATTCTGAGTCAGATGTGCTAAGCCTCTATTACATTATTTCATCTAGTCCTCAGTACAGCCCTTCAGGGTAGATGTTGTTGTCCCATTTTATGGCTGGAAAAACTGAGGCTCAGAGAGGGTAAGCACCTTGCCCATTGTTACACAGCCAATTCATGGAGGAGGAGGAGGAGGATTATAAACCCAGATCTCTGACCCCAAAGCCATCCTATTCTCCTGTCTTGTGGGGTATTTGTGAAGATTAGAGAAAATACATGAGGGGCCGGGCAGGTAGCTGCATTCTGTGCATTACTCATCCTGTCATTACGAACTTCTGAACACAACACAGCCTGAGCTTGATGAACATGGGATGTACCCAGGAGCTGGAACCCAGGGCTCTTGATCCTATCATCCTGGTGACAGTCCCACTCACCCTGTCCTCCCTGGCCACCTCTTCCCAACACTCCAATTTCTACTCTCTTTCACAAACCCCAGCTTTGTAATTACTGCCCAGAGTCTGCTAAACCACTAGGTTTACTGCTTTAAGATAGCTCTATACCCTCGTCTTTCCTCTCTCCGCTATGTGGTTCGGGGACAGTGACGGAAATAGGTTTTATCTTAACCCACTGAATCTGACACAGCTGGTGGAGTTCTGTGCCAAGAGAGGATCTTGAGGCCATGCCCAGGCTCAGTGCAAAGAGGACTGTGATGGGTTAGTGATGTCTGCCTGGGGCATGGGAGGGAAGTGTCTGTGCATGGCTATTCACTTGCCATCCTTGCGTGTAGATCAGTCATCTCTGGCAGAATGGAACACACAGAGGGCCCTCCCTGCCCAGAGGCATCTTTCACATTCTAGAGCAGGGGATGGAAATTGTGGTTCCCAGCCCAGATTTGGTCTGCTGCCTGTTTTCATGTGGCTGGCAAGCAAAGAATATTTCTTAAATTTTTAAATGATTTTTTAAAAATCAAAAGAAGAATAGCATTTTATGATATGAAAATTATATGAAATTCATCTTTCAGCGTGCGTTAATAACCCATTATTGGAGCACAGGCCTGCCATTGACGTGTCTATGGCCACCTTCAAGCTACAAGGGCAAAGCTGAGCTGCAACAGAGACCACATGCCCCAGAAAGCTGGGCTGTTTACTAGCTGGCCCCGCACAGAACAAGTTTCCAGCAGCTGCCCTAGATGACTGGGGTTGCCAGAAGGAAGTTGTGCATTAACAATGAGCACGGGTCTCTCTACCACAGTAGCCCCAAGGACAAATACCAAGTAATGTGTTTCAAGGCATATTGTCAAAGTAGACAGTGTTAACAGGCCTTTCTGCAGGATGAAATTTGTTTAAAAATAAAAAGTTCTGAGGCTGAGGTCCCATGAGGTTGTTGCCGTATACAAGCCTTTATTCATTCCTTAAGTTAAATTAGAACTTAGTTAAATCAACATGTCCATGGCAAGGGCTATGATACTGCTCAGACTTTTTCCTTTTAACATTTCAAGAACTGCTCTAGCAGAGTGGGAGTTTTGAAGTTGGGTCCTAGGATCCCCAGAGGGCCCACAGGGGAGAGGTAGGGCAGCGGTGGCATGCTGGTAGATACTTTCTAGGGGGAAGCAGTGTTTGCTGATTCTCATGGTATAAATACTCTCAGCATGGCCAACTTCAAGCTGCCAACGTAGTTGCTGAACATGGGTTTGGGGAGAGATGAGCACGACTGACTCTTGTGAGCCATGGGGTGGGCTGAGCCCCTGGTGGGCAGGGCGCTGGGCTCACTGCTGCTTCTGTTTCTAGCAGTGTCCCCCCATCTAATCAATTTCATCTGAGTTCATTCGGGTTTCAGCTAAGATTTCAGCTGACAACTGAGTTCTGTAGCTAATCATAGTATATCAAAAACAAAACTAACAGATCTTGTGACACCCCTTCCCTCCCCCACACATACACGTACACACACCACTACACCCAGATAAAACATGGTCCGTTTCCTCATTCCCTGCAAAACAAAGCTGGCATTCCTTAGCAAATCTTCCAAGGGCACCAATAGGTAACCACCCCTTCCCATAGCCTTTCTCACTGCTTCTGATAATGGTGGCCACAGCAGTCAACCACTGGGCATGAACTGTGGGTCCCAACCTGCACTGAGCACTTCAAATAGACGGTCACATCTTACACTCCAGAACAGCTCCTGGAGGGAAGCATGATCATTATCCCATGTTACAGATGAGGAAACGGAGGCCGCACCTAGCGGCCCCAGCTCTTTTCCCATTGCCAGAAATCTTGTGAACTTTCATGGGTCCCAGGACGGCTCAGGCCACTTCTGCCTTGAGGGTCCATCTGTGACCGTCTCATGTCTCCTGTGCCTAGCTCAGTGCCTGGTGTTTAGTAAATGTTTGGCGAATGATTGCTAAAGAAGAAAGTGAGAGGGAATCTATTTGATTATGAACACGACAAGGTAAAATAAGAAACAGTGGCCCCTCTGCCCATCACAGGAGCAGCTGTCGCTTGCCATATTGAACCCCCCCGGGGGAGTTTCTGGATACGCACAGCAAAGGGGAAACTTTTGGGATGATATGTAAACATTTGTAAACAGCCCCAAATAAACTGCTTATTTGTTTGTTTCTTTCACTTGAACTTAACTTGAACCTTTCCTGTAAAAATTTTTTTTGAAGTGATAAAAGTATCTTCCTCAAAAAAAAAAGAAAGAAGAAAGCGATTGAAAGTCCTTGAGATTATTAATCATTCCCCTGTGTATGTCCTCCTGTAAACTCTTTAAGAAAATGAGTTTAAGATGCCTTCAGACATCAGAGAACAACTTGTGTGCACACAGATACACGGTGTTTTTGTCTCTTCCCCAGGTCTAATCATGTTGGTTGGCTGGTTGCAAGGAAAGCAGCTCCTCAGTATGTTCACGATTGGGGTCAGGTAAGGGCATGGTGGCTGTCCCTCGCCTTGTCAGTGGGTTGGATGGGCTCTGAGCCCTAAAGCCTGCAGCGGGAGAAAGTGGGGAGACTGCGGAGTAGAAAAGTCCTAAGGAAGCCGTGTCCTCCCCACCCCAATAGCATGTTGTCCAACAGGCAGGGGTGCCTGTGAGTGCTTGCAAAATTAATGAAAGTATATGATTTGAAGTTCCCTTTCTGGTCACTCTTTGCCCGTGGCTAAGAGCATGGACCCCAGATCCAGTCTGCCTAAGTTTAAATTCTGCCTCTGCCACTTCCTAGCCGTGTGACCCTGGGCAAGTGTCATGGTTCTCTGTGCCTTGGTTTCCTCCTCTGTAAAATGGGAATGATAATAGCCCCTCTTCTAGGGTTGTTGTGAGATTAAATTATTTAGTCCACGTGAGAGCCTACAACAATACGCATGCGTAGCCAATGGGTGCTCTGGTTACTGGTTTAGAACTCAATCCAAGTCCTCGTTTTATAGAGGAGGCAATAAGAGAGGACCGTGGACATGTAGCCCAAGGCCACACAAGTGATGCCTGGGAGTCAGGGCACTTGACGTTAAGCTGAGGGGACCTGCCCCTCTTCCGCACGGTGATTCTGATAAGTAGCTGCAACCTCCTAGGTCCTGGTGGGTAATGCAGAGAAAAGGGGAGCCCAGCTTAGTGCAGTGGGGTGACATTGCCAGTAACTTTTCCATGGCTACTTGCCAAGGCAAGGGGAGCAGAGTGCCAGTGATTGTCACTAACTGGGTATGTCCCAGCAGGAGGGTGGCTGGTGGCCCGTCTAGGACACAGAGAAGGCAACACATTTCTAGCGTCACGTCAAGTCTGGTGGTTTTCAGAAGGTGACCCACAAGCTGCCCATGCTGCTGGTGTCTGCAAGATGGTTTTAGGTGTTACATGGAAAATTATTTTAATGTCTGCTAGAAATATATGTGTGTGTGAGTATAGATATGTATGTGTGAGTTTTCTTTTGAAGGTGATGAAAATGTTCTAAAATTGATTGTGATGATGGTTGCACAACTCTGAATATACTAAAACCCACTGAATTACGTACTTTAAAGGGGTGGATTTTATGATACGTGAACTATATCTCAATAAAGAAGAAAAAGAAAGCATAGAGCAGGGAACTAAAAGTGCTATTATTAAAAGGATCCTTAGAGTCTTTCTAATTTATGTATAAAAAGCAAATTGTTTACAAGCACCTGTGTTGTAACGATGCTTACAATAAATCCACACACCTCACAGTGGATTGAGGGAGGTATCCCAGTGTGTGCTGGGACACGGAGGTTTCAGGGAGGCTGCTTTCCTGGAGCTGACCAGTGTGGGCAAGAGAATCTTGCCTTAAGGGTTGGTGTACTTACCTGTGGGACACAGTATGATACATAGTGTCGGGTGTACTCAGCTGTGGTACACAGTATGATACATAGTGTCAGGCATACCCATCTCCGAGTCAAGCTTGCCTATGTGTAAGTGAATGTACACAGTTACCTGGTAATTAGCAATAGAATAGACTCAAATGTGGGTCTTTTAAAATTCCAAATGCCTTATTTTTTTAATCACACCATGCTGTATGCATTAATTGAGGGTCAGGCAGCAAACAACATGTGGACAGACGTGTCATATTACGAAAACATTTGATAACTGTTTTTTGAATGAATGGAAATTTAAAAAGAGCATGTCTGGTTTTAGACACTTTGTCACTCAGAGTGACAAAATCCTGGGGACATAGGGAAAAACTTACAATAAAAAAAGAGGAATTGGTTTAAAGAACATTACACAATGATAACACAGGCACACAGAGGTGACAAAAGTTGTAAAAGCAAAATATAAATGACAGACATTTGGAAAACCCCATCTCAGCTTAGTTCCAAGGCAAAAAATAAAGTCCATACAATGAGACACACAGACATTCAAACCACGTCAGAATAGCTTTAAAAAATAGTTCTCAGAATAGGAACATAAAAAGAAAGAGAAAACAGCTGCACTAATAGTTTATTGTCTTTAGGTTTTAGCTATAAATAATCTATAAATAAGTGGATTAATGCCAGGATTTGGACTTTTCCCCAAAAAATATTTGGAATCATGAAAATCTAGGCATTGTCCTGTACAGAGAGTCCTGCTGGGTTTCAGGTCTTTTTCTCTGAAAATATGCTGGGTGCACCATGTGTCTTGCTAGTGGCTGTGAGAAAGGGCTTGTTAAGCTCTAGATGATGAAGCCCAGGGTGCCCTTCTGATTGTAGGATGGTCATGACTCAAGTCAGTTGGGGCTTTCTGACTTTATATCCTGAACTGGATGCTGTGAGGGATATAAAAGAAGAAAGAACCCGTCTTCACAGAGCCTTCAGTGGCCGTTTATGCTTCTGTGTCGGCATGGATGGCTTTGACCATGTGATCTATTTGTATCATTTTCACTAAGTCCCTTTCATGATCAGCACACAGTGTCAGTACTGGGGGCGGTCGTGAGCAGGACAGTTACTGTTCCCCCTTCAAAGAACTGTGGGTCTCGGTGGACTTAAAGGATTGTGGGAGTCAAGGGCTAGAGAGAAAGAGCTGGAAAGATAGGAGGTGGTGGGCAGAAGCGGGAACCTGAGATTGAGGTCACGGAGGGGCTCAGCTGATGCTAATGCTGAGACCTGGAATGTGACTGGGTATGTAGTGTCCTGGGCCACGTAACAAAGTACCACAAACTGAGGGGTGTACAACAGCAGAAATCTCTTCTCTCTCATTTCTGAGGGCCAGAAGGCCAAGATCAAGGTGTCGCTGTGCTCTTTCTGAAGGCTCAGGGAGAATCTGTCCCATGCTCCCAGCTTCTGGCGTTGCCGGCAGTCCTGGGTGTTCCTTGGTGTGAGGATACATCACCCCGATCTCTGCCTGTCACATGGTCTTCTCCCTCCATCTGTCTCTGCATCTCTTCTCCTCTCCTATAAGTACACCAGTCACATTGGACTAGGGTGGGCAGCCTAATGACTTGATTACATCTGCAAAGACGCTATTTTCAAAGAAGGTCACATTCACCCATACCAGGGATTAGACGTGGACATATCGTTCAGGGAGGACAGAATTCAGCTCACATCAGCAGGCTGTGGTTGCTGAGGGAGGTGGGTGGCTGGAGGACAAGCTCATTGGGGGGACAAGGCTGAGGAGGTATGAGCCAGAGCATGGGAAGGACCATCTAGCAGATGTTAAAGTCACTAAGAGTATGATGCAGGTGGAGAGAGTGCTCATAGAATCAGTTCTAGAATCTTCAAGAAATTGGAGGGAGAGAGACTAGTGTCTGTTGATGCTGCAGCAAGGGGTAGGAGTGGGAGGGGGCCATCTGATTGCGGTCAGTCCTTCCACAGCTCATAGGGAAAGGCTGGTCTCCATTTTACACACCAGGACACAGGGTTAGACGGACTCAGTCGTGTGGTTACAGAATCAGGGATGGAAGAGCTAGACTTGAACTCCCCTGTGTCCGGTCCAAAGCCAGGCTCCCGGTGCCCTGCTGCCTCTCGGCAAGTCTGAACTCTCCCGCTTGTGCCATCCTTGGTCCCCCACCTCGGCCACCACTGGTCATTGGCTCAGTTGTTTGCCTCACAAATATTTGTTGTTCATCTGGTTTTTTGGTTTTTTAAAATTTTTATTATAAGCTTATTATTATTACAAATCGTGATTTTTCCTTATGCCCTTTACCCAGCCTATCCCTCCCCAACCCCCCTCCCCCCCATCTCTGTTATTCTGAAAGTTCAAGGAATTGTTTAAGTCTTTTCTTTCTTCCTTTCTTAGCACCCAGTTATGAGTGAGGGCATATGGTATTTTTCTTTCCTTGTCTGGATTATTTCACTTAACATGATTTTCTCCAGACTCATCCATGCTGCTGCAAATGGCAGGTTTTCATTCTTTTTTATGGCTGAGTAATATTCCATTGCACCACAGTTTCCTTATCCAGTCATCCGTGGATGGACGTTTAGGTTGGTTCCATATCTTGGTTATTGTAAACAGAGCTGCGATGAACATGGGAGTGCAGGTATCCTTTTGACATGATGATCTCCATTCCTCTGGGTACATACCCAGCAGTGGCATTGCTGGATCATTGCTGCATCTATTGACTGCCTATTTACATCATCTAAGTCCTGATACAGTCTCCACCCTCGTGGAGTTCTCAAGCTGGTGGGGAAAGTAAATATAATCAATTTATGTGCATGTTAATGAAAATAATTACGACTATCATCCGTGCTACGAAGGAAACAACTGCTGAGAGAGATTAAAAAGGAGGTAAGAGGGATGTGACCTGCCCAGGTGGCCAGGGAAGATTTTTCTTAGGAGTCTTCAGCTCAGAGAGTTGAGAGATGAGAAGGAGCCAGGTAAGAGAAGAGCAGGAAGGGTGCTGCAGGTAGGGGAGGGCATAGGCAAAGGCCTGGCGGTGGGCACAAGCCTGGCATGTCCAGGGAACACCAGGAGGAGACCGTGCCTGGTCACCACGATGATGGATTTGGTTAGAGCCAGATCCCAGAGAAACGTATGGCCCCTTTGCTCCCACTCCTAACCACGCCATCAGAACCCTCTTCAACGTGCCATGCCAGGCCATCCCTACCGTGCTGTGAGATCTGAGAGATGAAAAGTGTTGGCCACCCTTGATATGAAGGTTGAAGGAGGTGGCAGGTGGGAGCCACAACTGAGTTATGCTGTGAGTGGCAGAGTCCAAGGCAATACAGCGACAATCTGGAGGAGATCACTGTCCAGCAGGGGCCTCAAACTTGAGTGTAAGAATAGGAGGGTTCCTGGGAGAGCTTGTTAAGCACAGATTATCAGTCTCCTGACTCAAGAGGTCTGGGTGGGGCCTGAGACTCTGCATTTCTAAAAAGCTCCCAGGGGTGCTGATGTGGCCGGTCCAGGGAGCACACTCTGAACAGTGAGGCTGTCATTAGATGCTACCCCCAATCCAGGCCTGACAAGAGCAGAAACAGGAAGGAGGAGGAGACACCTGCCACTTGGGTGACTGAGCCTTCAGCAGCGGGTGTCCTGGCTGGGAGGGAAAAGTCAGCCTGGGGGAGGATCCCAGAGAAAGTGGAGCTCTCAGAAGCCAGAATGCTTAAAAGCCTCCCCGAGATAAGGATGCACTCCATTCCCATCTCATAAACCATGCAAAGTTCTGTGAACCAGAAAAGACTATTACGTATTTCCAAGATACAAACAAAAAAAAGGTTTCAGTGTCCCTTCCCCGTCCCCCGCCCCACCTCCCCGGGCTCTCGGTCATGCTAGTGCTACCAATTCCAGTTCAACTTGCTCATCCCATTTGATCCATGGTGAACTTGCACTTTACCTGTGATTGTGAAAGGGTGAAGTTTTTCCATTTTTAGTGGCAGATTAAAGTCACCTGAAACCACTGAATCAGAAAATAGAAATGGCAGAACAGCCAGGGAGATTTTCCAAAATAAGTAAAATGAAAGAATTGTTCTTCATAAAACTTATCCTAATTCCGTGTGCCTTGAGTGACATCCAGAATGATCCAAGGCATTTTCTTTTCCTGGTTCATTCTGATCTTTATTAGTTGTGGATTAATTTTTTATCACTATGAACATGTCTAGGTTTGTGCAGAAATGCCCTCCCCATGCTGTATGGGGTGGAAGTCACCATCATGACCCTCCTTTGATGTGTGTTTAGCTAATCTTGTCAGCCTGTGCCATAAAACCAAGGAAGCCCTTTTGTTGTCACCAGAGAAACCAGGCACAGCCCCTTGACCAAATTCAGTAATCTGGGTTTATATAACTTGCCTTTAAGTGTTCCATTGTCTCTGGGTGAGAGGTCACCATTCATGTATGATATTTTTGATTCTAAGATACACACTCTTTTTCACGTGTCAACTCCTCTGAGATCAGACTACTTTTTATGAGCAACAGGGTAAGAAAGCACCGTGTCACATTAATTGGCAATGTTTTTTTTTTTCTTAGTGGAGCACAAAATAATAGTGCCCTTCACAATCAATGGTGTCCTTGATCCAATGAACTACGTGGTAGCCATGTGTGATTTTGGTTGAAGGAGCGCCCCCAGCCTGGTTTTCTATTAACCAACCCAGGTACAGTGCTCCTTCTGTGCTCGGCCTGCCTGGGTGTAGACTCTCATGTGTATTTTCTCATTTACATGTGTTGGTTCAGGAAATATTTACTGGATACCTACAGCACTCTGCTGGATGTTCCAATGCACAGAAATCAGTCCACCTGTGGGTGAGATGTAGCCAGAAAATAGGTTTGTTTGAAATGTGTCATTTTTTAAAAAAACTAGGATTTGTTGCTAACATCTGAAAAATGGGATTGTGCATTAAAGAGATGCTGGGTTTCCAGTTTCTCTTGGGAAGTGGGGAAGGTTTGGCACCACTGGGCGTTGCTGTCATCCCAGGCGGCTCAGCGGCAGCCCTGTGCCTTGGGCAGGGCCTGGCTGTGGGCTCCCCACCTCAGCACCAATCTCACTGCCCACTTCACTTACTTACTAAGTGGCTTGGCTCCCAGGACCTGGCACAGTTGAGCCCTGTTTTAACGGGAGCGTCTTGTGGGGCTTCTCCAGGGTCCCCATCAGTGGCTGTAAGTGGGCTCCGTTTTGGCAAGAGGTATCGGCCCTCTTCTCCTGTGATTTTTCTGGTTGTTCTCAGATAACAAATTCCCTGGTCACTTCTAGTCCCCAAAATAGTCTCTTTCTAGAAATTATAATGAGTGGTTTCATGCGATGAAAATACTTAAAACTTCGGGCCGACCCCATGGCTCATTCAGGAGAGTGTGGCGCTGGGAGCACAGCCGTGCTCCCGCTGCGGGTTCGGATCCTACATAGGGATGGCCATTGCGCTCACTGGCTGAGCGCGGTGCGGGTGACACCAAGCCGAGGGTTGTGATCCCCTTACCGGTCACCGAAAAAGAAAAAAAAATACTTAAAACTTCCTGTAAGGCACAGCGTTCCCACCCTCTCGGGTTGTGGAGAGGGTCTGCTCACCTCCCCCTACCGGCTCGACATCTCTCTTCCTCTCCCCAAGTCACCAGCCCGGGTTGCTTTTCTTCCTTTTTTTTTTTTCTTAAATGGCTTTATTGAGATATAATTCCCATACCATATAATTCACTCTTTCAAAGTATACAATTTAATGTTTTTAGTATATTCACAGATATATGCAACCATCAGCACAGCCAGTTTTAGAACATTTTTATCACCTCAGAGAGAAACCCTGTGCCCTTTAGCTGTCACCCCCCACTCCCCAACTCATCCACTCCCAACCCTCAGCAGTCACTAATCTACCCTCTGTCTCCATGGATTTCCCTGTTCTGGACATTTCATATGAATGGAATCATACAATATGTGGCCTTTGTGTCTGGCTCTTTCACTTAGCATGTTTTCAAGGTTCAGTCACATTGTAGCTTGTGTCAGTATTTCATTCCTTTTTATGGCTGAACATTATGCCATTGTATGGACAGACCACATTTGATTCATCCATTCGTCCACTGATGGACATTTGGGTTGTCATGGTTTCTTTTCATATTTGTTGCTAAATGTTTTTTTTTTTTTTTTTTTTTTTTTTTTTTTTTTTTTTTTCC